TGTATTTTATTTTACGTATACATTTTTATCTTTTAAAGGGGGTGAGGGTGGGGACTGTTCGGTATCTCTTCATCTATTTAGTTTCCTTTGTCCAGTGTTAATTCATTAGGTGTTAATTCATTTGGTTTTAATTTTATTTTTCATTACTTGATTTCTTTTATAATTTCCATTATGTTTGTTGTTTTTAAGTTAAAATCTTATATTCTGTTTGAACGCACCTTCTATATGTCGTGTGCCGCTGTTATAAAAGCGTTGTTCAATAAAGTTCAGTTCAGTTCACTTGCTGAGTTAATTAGGGTGATTGGTGAGCCTCATGATACTTAGGTTGTGTTTACGAACTTTCAACGAAACCGGATAAGTAAAAAATGACATAATGCCCAGAGGGTAGGTCATTAGATCGCTCGTTTACGAACCCCAAGTTACTCGGATACGGACCGTAAGATAGGCCTTTCATGTAAAAACAAACACTTCACCGCTTAGCCTTCCTCAGCCCAACAAGGCAATTCAACAACAAATTACCTCGCCTTGCCTACGCTCGAACTCGAACCAATTCTAAAAAAACCCAGGCCTTAGAATCTAGAGCCTAGCCAACAGGGAAAATTACAACAAAAAAAAAATTACAAAAAAACAAAGGAAAAAAAATAGCCTACGGACTTACTACTGCTACTAGTTCCACTGGTGTTCAGAGCCGATAACGACGTGTCAACAGTGTGTGGTGGACAAGAAATGGGTCTATCGCCAAAAATTTCGTTCATCATCTCAAAATACGGCCATTCTGTTGGGGGGGGGGGGGTTCCTGACTTCCCGTTGGAGTCCTTTTCCTGGGTGTATTTTTTGTACAGGTTCTTGCATTTGGTATTCTATCCGTGCGTGCGTAAAGTTATAACCTATTTCCCGCATCTTCTGTGCGATTTCTTTATAAATGGCGTTGTTCCGTCAGGTTCCATCAAAACCATCTTGTATGGATGTCATTCCCCATATGCTAATTAACGTTTAGGTTGCTTCGTCAGTCCACCCACTCTGTTCAGCTGCAGGTCTTGTTTATACAACACTGTTCAATTGAACAGAGGTGTTTTTCATCGAACAATAATTATCACCATTGGTCGTTCCCCAGTGACACTCATTTATACTTTTTTGAAAGGTAATAGCATTTCCTTGTGTGATTAAATCATTTTTTTTTTCAAATACTGAGGACTGAATTAACAGCAATTTATGTTAATACTTGGGCCTATCCCTACAAGCATCCTCCACCCAGTCGCCTAATCATACTTGCAAACTTAAATGCCACATATGTCTGACCTTGATGAAAATTTTTAAAAAAATAATTACATAATGATAATGGCTTATTATAACATTACATTTTACGTGTTTGTAGTAAATTTTGGAGAATATTCATCAGAGGTCAAGGTGTCAAAAATTTGATACAATAATGACAAAATGAATATTATAGTTTATTTTCAATATATTTTAGCTGCTCCAAATTTCCTTCCTATTCTTCTTTCTTCCTATGCTTTTTCCATATTTTTGTCAAATTCTTTTCAAAAAACGGTCTTGGTCCAGACGTCACTGCACAATAATAATTACAATATACATTTACAGTATAGAGAATAATTGGATGTGTTCCGGCCGAAACAGGAGTGTCCGGGGAGGGGGGTGGATTCGGAATCCCCTTCTGACAGTCGAAATTTTGTTTAATTTGAACATTGGCATTCTCCATTTATAATGTATTTCCATAATAATTTGATGCTACTACGGTGAAAGCAAATTGAATAAACAATATTGTATTTGTACAATGGAGGTTTCATTGAGTATCTGTTTATATTTTAAGAAATACGTGGTAGACACCATTAAACAATAACAACATACATCTGATGCCATGTAATAATTATTATTGTCAACTTCAAGTGGATTTGGATTGTTATTCATTTTGAGAACAGGTGTATAATTTCAAAAAACATCATATAAAATTTTAACCAAACCTTTGTACAGTAGAACCAAAATTGAAGCAAAATTATCGTAATACATAAGCCTGCCATTGTAGCCCTTAAATACAAGGCAAGTGAAGAGAATATTAAACAATATTTTAATTTGGGCCTTCAAAAAGAATTAAAAAAAGATGGCTGTGAAATGTTAGAGGAGGGGGGGATAAAGGCTGTTTAGCGCCACACCCCCCCCCCTTAATCCGCCCCTGATTTATGTACGCCCCTCGGTCGGTGACCTCAACTTTGTCAGTGATTAATTACAAGTCGGTGCCTGCGTGCACAAGTAAGAATCCCATTTCGCAAAATTTGGGGATATTTTTGAAATAGCATTTCTTCCATGTGTTTGTACTATAATCTCTCTCTATTCCATTTATACAACACCCATCCCTGCTAATCAGTGTTAGAGGGCGTTGTTTGAGTATGCTACCATATTTAGTAACCTAATGTATACGTTTATATTTTTCTGCAGGGATGTTGTAAATTAAGTTGATAACCAATAGGCAATCAGAGATTGTTGAAATGCTATAGCATTGCATGACTTCCAACTGACTTAAAACAACTTGTTGTTTGATCAGATTTGTCTGAAGCTTTGTCCACTCTATCAAATTTTATGTAACAAATAATATCATCAGGCTTATATATGGACATACTATCAAATTTTATGTAACAAATAACTATGATATGTCCATATTTGGGTTTAATATGATATCCTCATGTCCATATATATGGGCACTTCGCATACTGTAAAATTTGATAATGTGGACACAGCTAACAATATACATATACACTGTCACTCTAAGTAAGTAACTTTATTGCTTCTATTTTATAACAGATGTGCAACAATAACAAAATCAGTAAAAACTTAATTACTGTGATAAAAAATAGTAAGAAATACTGCGGTAGAACAAAATATATATAAAAAACGGTTTACAAAAATGGTAGTAGAGATAATAATAATTAATACTAATACTAATAATATAAGTAAGTAGGTAATACATACCCTTATACACACACACATACATATAC